ATACAAGCCAACCCTCTGAGGGACCTTGACCAGGCAAGAACAAACAGAGACAAAGAAAAACACTTTTTATAGACTGCATCATACAGGACCTTCAACTTTCAATATGTGCCAGAAGCCATTGCCATCTTCCAACACTGTAGACTGCTTCTGTGTTGTATTTTATTTTTATTCTCAAATGTCAGCTGCTGGGGAGGAACTGTAAAGCTACACATTTCACAGAAGTAACAGAAATCGAAAAACTCGAAGAAAGATAAACGGCACTAATCACATTTAATGGAAATACAATGTAACTGAACCTGTTCTTTACTTAGTTATTTGTTTATTTTTACAAATGAGTCTATGATGCTGGATTTTTTATACTCCCTCCCATCACACATGCTCACATGTACACACTGTAACATATTTATTTCCATATTTTAAATGCAAAAATATTAACCACTAGTTAGATATATCCAAAATATTGGTCACTTTGTTAGACACACCTGTTCACCTGTTCAGTAATGCAAATATCAAATCAGCCAATCACAGGGCTGGAATTCATTTAGGCATTTAGACATAGCAAGCAAAATGGGAAACAAAGGTGATCAAGTGACTTTAAGCATAGCATCGGCTGGTCTGAGTGTTTCAAAAACTGCCAAGAAACTGAGCTTTTTTGGCACAACTATCTCTAACTTTTACAGAGAATGGTCCAAAAAAGAGAAAATATCTAGTGAGCAGTTCTCTAGTTGTAAATATTTTGTTCATGCCAAAAGTCAAGGGAAATGGCCAGAGTGCTGATAGGAAGGCAACAGTAACTCAAATAAACACTTACTGAAACTACGGTATGAAGACAACAACACATCAAACTTGAAGTACAGGGGCAACAGCAGTAGAAGAAACAAGAATCTAAGGATGCATTTCATCAGAGTGGGATGACATAAGATTGGAAAATGTTGCCAATTTTTTTTTTCTTTACAGTCTCAGTTTCTATGGAGACATTTGGATGGGTGGGGTCAAAATTTGGCATAAACAATATGAAAGCACAAATCCATCCTGCCTTGTATTAACTGTTCAAACTGCTGGTAGTGGTGTAACAGTTGAATAAATGTTGTGGGAGATTCACATCACAGATGTGCAGATGACATGATTGTACTTTCTCCATATGTTTGTCCTGTTTATATCTCTTTTATAATTTCAGTTTTCGCACACTGTGCATTTAAATGGGGGAACTGCTAGGTATGGGCTACCCTGTACAAATGAAAGTTGATTTACTTGCCTCAATTAGTGATCCTGGAGGAGACATAACAAAGACACAAACTACAAATTTCTTGCTGTCTGCTGGTATGAGTGTTTGGTTAGTAAAGTTTTGTGCAGCTGTTTTACCTGCTGGTGCACCATCAGCCTAACACAGCCCAGTGCTTGAGGAATCCATGTTATTGAGACAAGCTGTCAGTACCTACTGACTAGGGGGAGACAGAGAAAAACAATAACACTGCAAGAAGAGGGCAGAGGGGAGCACGAAAGCTAGGGATAGCTCAAGGGACTGTGATTGAGACAGAGTGCAAGTGATGCATAGCTTCAGCTATGATGTTCGTGACTGAATTCTTGACATGTTTTACTATCTTGTAACCCTGAGCTGTGTTGGTAAACTTACCGTCGAACAACTCTGCAGATAGTATCACTTTAATATTACCTTTTGCCACTGGAACAGTAAACGCGAAGCTGTAAACTTGCAGATGATGGGCTCTAAACTGTAGCTTTAGAGATAAATCATGTATAAATCAAGGAATAATATATTTGATAATGAAGGGAATCAGGTGTCACACTAAAGGTTCTACTACTGTAATTTCAACGATTTTTGCTTGTTTTAGCTCATCTTGGAAGGATCTGCAATAAAGCAAATTTTTGTACACTCTGTTCATTGTCTGTTCACAGTCATGTGGTTTGCAGTATTTCCACACAGACATTACTTATTTGATGTCTGTCATAACTCCAGCATTTGATGTAGCTGTTCTGACTCATGGATGAGTTAATGTTCTTTAGGAGATTGAAAATGGGTTCCTTTCACATTTGAGTTCCTTATTTGAGCATCTTTCAAAAAGACAGTTTTGTGGTGGTCATTTCTCTGTGCCTATAGGGATGGTGTGAGAAAAGTGTATGATGGGTGCATACTGTTTGATTGAGGTGTGTGTCTGTGACTCAGCTGTCATTGCCTGTTGAAAGAGGCTGTAAATCCAACTCCAGACACGCTTTCTGTTAATGGGCTTTTTATGCCTGGTGTAAATGACAAAAGGTATGAAGTTTATGGTTTCTTTTAAATATATGCACATACATACTCGCACAGAATTAACATCACCTCTGTCCTGCTTGAGTCTACGCATGATGACACAAAGTGTTTCTCATATGGCGTTCTTCTGATAAGAAATGTTTACATTTTTTAAGAGCAATAGTCTTTTACAATTGCTATATCATTGTTATTGCTCCTATGTGTCTTGGTTAAAAATGAGAGATTTTCTGGAGTAATTCGTGTGCACATAACTAAAGTGAGAATTGTACTGAGTATAAACATATCATTTGTTTGAGAAGAGAAAAGTACTTATCAACAATATGTATCATGGGTGCATATTACTGTCATTAAATTCAAAAAATAAAAATAAAATCTCAGTGCACATTTATAACAATAATCATAATGTTCTTTTTGTGCCATTTTCCATTAAATGACTTTTATGACTTGCAAATTATAGCATTCTTTTGTGTTATCTTTATTTAACACAGCATCCCAAATTTTGAAATTAGGCTTGTAGAATTGTTGGAAAGCTTTTGCAGAAAATCTGCTAATGCTCTGAATTTAAAGCAAGTTTGGTGCATTAAGGTAAATTTACACACCATTTGGCACATGAAATTTTCATGTGGTCTGCCAGCGAATTGTACTGCTGGTATTTCCATTGAGTTTTGTGAAGCGTTAGAAAGAGTCCGTTTCTTTCTCACTTATTTTTGCTTTTTTTCTTACTAATACACTGGGGGAAAACATTTTTTGAAACCCTGCTGAATTCGTAAGTTTGTTCACTTACAAAGAAATGAACAGTCAGTAGAAATACCGAATATCAACCAAAAATTGATTTATATAGCATTGATTGAAATAAGTATTTGTTCTCCAAGCAAATAATAACTGAATATTTGTTAGCAAGCACAGTAAGACGCTGCTTGTAGTTGGTCACCTGGTTTGCACACATCTGACGAGGGGTTTTGTCACTTTCCTTGGCTTTCTAAATCCTTTTAGTTTCTTGGCTGCTGTTTGGCAACTTATAGCTCCCTCCACAGATTTTCCAGAGGATTGAGATCTGGAGACTCGCTTGGCCATTCCATGACTTTAATTTGCGTCCTTAGCCGCTCTTTGCCTTGGTGTTATGTTTTGAAGACCTATTCACAACCCATGTTCAGTCTTCTGGCTAAAGGAAGGAAGTTCCTATCCAAGATTTTACACTGCATTGGACCCTCGGTGCATTTAAGTCATCATGTACCCTTAGGAGAAACATAGCCTCAAAGCTTAATGTTTCCACCAATGTTCTTGACTGTGGGAATAGTATGCATTTCTCTTCCTCAACACATAGCAGGTTGAGTTGCCAAAAAGCTTGATTTTGGTTTCATCTGACGCAGCACATTCTCCAAAACATTCTCTAAATCATTCAGATACTCAATATCATGTCATGTGCGTTATCAAGCAGATTTGCAGATTTCAGTCCATTACAGCGTAGTGTGTTACCAGTGGTGTTCTTGAGGACTGTAGTGCCTTTTGATCATTAACAAACTCCTATATAGTTTTATGCTGCACCCCGTCACCTTTTTCGTGATCTTCATCCCCTTACGAGGCAAGATCTTGCATGGAGCTCCAGACTGAGGGCAACTGATGTCCATTTTATATTTCTTCCATTTCCAAATAATCGCACCAACAGTTGTCACTTTCTCACCAGTTTCTTGCTTACAGTCTCGTAGCCTGTTCCAGCCTTGTGTAAGTCTACAGTCTTGTCCCTGACATTCTTTGACAACTCTTTGGTCTTGCCCATTGCGTTGGAGAGGTGGGAATAGATGAAATTGATTCTGTCGACGGGTGTGCTTTATACACATAACAAGCTGAGATCAGGAGTGTCTGTAATTGATTGTGTGGTTGAATGTTATGTGCACGACACGGGCATAGAGACAGTTTTTGAGAGCCAGAATTCTGGTTGGGTTGAAGTGCATCAAATCCTTATTTCACTCCATGACATGCAACTTTTATATAATGTATTTATTCTGGATTTTTTTTCACATTCTGTCTCTATAAATTAAAATAAAACCACGATAAAAATTAGACTGTTCAACCTTAAAATATTTCCCCAACTGTATATACAATTATTGTGTTTAATTTTTTTAGTTGCAAAAAGGTTTTTGGTTGACTTCTTTTTTCTTTATCCAAGCTGCCAAAACTCCAATTACTTGCAAAAAGACTTGTTTTTTGCCCAAGTGAAGGACTGATTTGGCGAATGATGAAATGAATGGATGAATGATCTTGTGTCTGACTGGGTCCATTAGATCTTTCAAAATCATTGCATTGTGCACTTTGTTTCCATAGCAACTTCAGACTTCTCTGCAGAAATACTAGTTAAAGGACAAAGAGTAGATACCTCCTTATATGTAATACTTGTTTTTATATTTAAAAAAAACAAACAGGTGACAGTGACAACTGTCATCTTAGCTGATGAGTTTGATGTTTTTTTAAGGTGATGATTGATCATTGCAGCTACAGCAAGCTCTCAAAAGCTGGTACCCAAGAAAGTGGTTTGACATACAGCTAACTGCTAAAAAAGCCTTGACATTTTCTTAGTGAAGAGATAATAAAAGATTTCAAAGTTCACAGAGATATAAAATAAATATGCTAAACCTATAAAAATGTCTTTTATCTGCAAAATTGTGCTTTGTCTTTTAGCATGACATCAATTACTATTGTAGCATCCTAAGTAAAACCTTGTTGTTCTGTCTTTAAGGTCACAGAGAATGAAAAGAAAGTTGCTGGGAGAAAAGAGAAGAAGGAGGCGGTACAAACACCACCTCCTGTCATCATGTTCCCAGGGTCCGGTCGCAATATCACCAAGGGTCTACGAAGACAGAAGAGGGACTGGGTAATCCCACCAATCAATGTGGCTGAAAATTCTCGAGGACCGTTCCCTCAGATGCTTGTCAGCGTAAGTGACAGATTTGATTGGCCGCGTCGCTGATGTGTTCTTAATTTACAGCTGGGATTTCTTGAGGGCATTTAACAAGTAAGGCTGATTGGGATATGTATAATGGATGGTGATAAATAACAGAAATACATTAGCATAACTAGTTTGTTTGCCACATCCTTGCAGATGATTATGCTGTGTTCCCCTGATGCAGCTACAGCCACAATGCCTTACGGTATTTAAACAGCCCTGATTGACCCTGAGAAGTTTTCCCCTTAGACACCTAAACAGCAAACTCTTGCACAGTGTGAGGTCCCATAGGGTCACAGTGAAGCTAATGATTGTTTATTCCTTTTTATGCATCTTTTCTTTCCTTTATCAGGTTATTTCAGAAAGGTTGCTTAAGGTTCAGTTCTATTTTTATAACTGTATAACAATGCAATTTGTCACAGAAGTTTTAGTGAAGCCTCTTGTTTGATATGAGAAGAAAGCATGAAATCCTGCCATTCTCAAAGTCAAAAGAGTAGAACAGTATTTCTTTTCTTCTGTGCCCTAATAGGCACATTAGTTTATTGGTTTAGAACTTCCTGTAAATAAAGAAGCAGCAGAAAAACATGAAGAGTGTATAACCATGTCTTTGTTTAGCATTCAAAATCAGAATTCGTCAACAATTACAGATGGAAAATTTATTTCTGTAAAACCTTTCCTTTTTTGATAAGGCTGTAATTACACGCTATATATAAGTGCTGCATGTCGAAGGTTAGAGGCTGAGCCCGCACACCTGTCGAATAAATTAATAAATAAATGTTTAACTTGCTGTGCAAAGGCTTGAGTTGCAGGAGGTTTAAAATTCAGGGATTCTGTCACAACAGAATGTGTGGTTTGACTCGCTCATAGGCAAGCTCTTGACTTTAAGATTGCGGTGCACGCTGTAACTCATCAAAAAACATTCCACAAGACTGCTGCTTTATTCGCTGCTGCTTCTTTCCTTCTCTCTTTATCTGGAATATCTAGCCATCAGCTTTTCCTTGCTGTTTACAAAACTCTCATAGTTTATCTCTTTGGGGTTTAAAATTGTGCAAAAGAAGCAGATTTTTCCTATTGTTTCTGTTCTTTGTTTTTCAACTGGGTTTCATCCAGTCCCCAGGGAAAAGCCTGGGGAGCTACTTGAAGGAAACTTTTTTTTATTCATTCTTTTTTTTTTTCTTCCATAGTGAAACAAAAACATCAAGTCAAAGAGGAAGGAGTTTGTAAGTCTGTGTTTTGGAGTGAGTGCCTCTACAGCTGGAGTGTGTCCCATCAGCCTGGCACAGTGTGGCTTTCTCATCTGAGCCTGCTGAGCCCATGAGTAGTGCTACACCAGCAATAAACTGGCCAGACAGTTCTTCTATTTCCATGAGCTGGTCAGAACCAGAGAGAGACAGAGGAGATGGCGAGGGGGAAAGAGAGAGAGGGTATCAAAGGAACATTTGGAAGCATAGTTTGCAGCCAAACACAATTCACTTTGTGCGGTAAATAGGTCCGTCAGGGGCTAGTGGATTGCTGAGAGCTGAGCGTTTCGAGCAGAGGAGAAGTGATGCGTGTTGATGCCTCTGTTGGACTCTCAAGCTCCCGTCTTTCTCTTTAATGATGACTGGAGGGCAGGAAAGGCCATACTGAGAGCTAGAGATTTTAACAAGGACACAGGGGTGGACGGCATGGGGATAATTTTGCCATACTTGTTTATCTGCTTAGTCCTTTCTAATAACCTACTTTGTCCTCTGTTGAGAATTCAGGCTTTTATGCATCTGTTTCTTTTCCCTCAAAACAACAAAAAAATGAAGCAAAAATGCATATTTTATTCAATAAAAAAAGGTCTCGAAGCAGCGCTTGGAGTCTTTCGGTCGCCCTTCAGTTGCACCATTACTCAGTGTTCTGTGCACTATGGCTGTGTGATGCTACTTCTAATGGTCTGTGAAGTCAGTCTCTTTCTTAATGGGCTGTTCTGTCATCCAAAACAGCACTGAGTGACATGCAGGCAGTGGCCTTCCCGACCATCCTAGTACTTTTCTCCCTGCCCTGGCCGAGTTGCCATCAGTTGGACAGGTGGGGTGACAGCAGCCCTCACCTGTATCTCTGCAGGTCTACAGCACTGTCACTTTGATCACGCTAGCACACGATTGGGCAGGTGTCAGGACAGAGCCCCTACTGATTGGCCTCGCAGCTCGCAGCCTGACATGGCTCGAGGGAAATGTTGACTGCATAGGCAAAGTTATGGCAGAACTGTTCTCCTATCGGTCTCTAAAGTCAAGGCAGTGACAGTGGAATGTTATTGACTGAATTTTATTAATAGCTGTGCTGAGATGACGGCTTCAGAACCCTGCACTCCCCTACTGTACATCAAGTTGTTGTGTACATGATATCACTCTGTGGTTGAATGTTAGACCTTATCAACCTCTAGTGTCAGAGTTGTGAGACTGAATGTAGCTATTCTTCCTTTGCCGATAATGGCCAGTAGTGCTTCCTTACAACAAATGGGCATGAGCGCTGCATAACTTGTAACAAAAGGATAAAATGGAAGGCTAGCAAAGAGAGCAATTGAAAGGATACAGAAATACTGTTAGCACTGTTCTAGACAAAACAAAGAGATCCAAAAAGCCTATAACAAAGAGCGAGCAGAGTAATTTTTCACAATAAACAGGTGTTCTCTGTCGTTTCTTTCTTCTATGGCCAAACTTCCATCAATAGTATGTAAGGGACATTGATTTTTCACAGGGGCTTTTTGAAACCTTTCATTGATTCACACACTTCTCCTACAGCAGAGCGGCATCGATTTTTTTTTTTTGCTTGGGTAAATAAAGACTCAGCGTAACCACCCAACTCCCCCCAAATCCCTTATTCGCCCCAACAATTGCTTAACCCCACCATTAGAACAAGCATCAGCTAAAAAAATGAAGAAACCCCTGATGAAACAACAGCATAGATAACGAGTAAGACCATTTATGATTAAATGTCTGAAATGGTTTGGGTTGTTTGTTTGTTTTTTTTGTTGTACTGCTGCCGGTTGAAAATAGCAAAGAGTATAAACACTGGTTTTGTCAGAGTTGCTGGTTGCCTGACAGGCAAGGTTTTAGTACCACAATGGAAATATTTTTTTATCCAGTATCTTAAAAACCTGAAGTCTCTGCAGTGATCCAGTGACAGGTGCTGTCACCTAGGTTAGACCCTCTTGGTCAGCTTGGCCCTTTCTGTGTGGTTCTGCCTTGTTGGACTTCTTTCGTCAAAAGATATTTATTTTTTTCCACTTATCCAATTCAGGCTCACAAACAGGCCGAAGCCTATCACAGCTGCCATAGGGCAAAGAGTAGGGTGCACCCTGAACACATAGAGACAGACAACCATTGGCACTTACACCCAGGGCCAGGAATTACCAATTAACTTAACATGCATGCATTTTGACTGTGAGGGGGAGTCAGAGTCCCCAGAGAGAACCTACACACAGGCAGTGAGAGAACCAGCTGGTGGTTTTAAACCCAGGACTTTCTTGTGCTGAGACAACGGTGGTAACCTCCGCACCACTGTGCTGTCTGGTTAAAGACATAGGTTAAGTTGATTGGCGCTTCTAAATTGTCGGTGGATGTGAGTTAGATATTACTTAAAGTGCATAGAAGAAAGTGTACGTCAAGATGTGGCTTGCAGTTTGATGGACATTGGTCACTAAGATTTTAAACTCCTTTATAAATGCCAGTACAGATAGTGACAGTGATCACACAAATATTGTTGCTGCATTCTTGACTAGTGTTAAAACATAGTGGGCCTTTTTTAAAAGGTTGTTCTCTTTTTCATCAGATACTTTGTAGACGTTTTCACCATAGCTTTTGTTGTACTGTAAGTTGCTATCCTTACTGCCTTTATCACTACAGTTGTTCCTCTCTTCAGCTCCAGCAAATCAATCATTCCTATCTGACATAAAGCGCATCACAGTTGAGGTGGCAGGGTGGGTATGTCACCACAGGCAGCAGATTTAAAACCGTGCTCCTGGGAAATAGAGATCTTTTACTTGTCGCTGATAGGCTTAATCAGCATTGTGTGAACTCGGATCGCAAAGGCATGAATGTAAAGGCAGTCAATTTGCATAGAAAACTTCCACACTTGAGCTTTAACATAGTAGACACAAATAAGGAATAGTGAGGTTTTGTTTTGCTTTTTTTTCCCCGGACATGTTCTGGATTTGTGTGGACTACAATGAGAAATGACAGCTTGTGTGAATTAGCACGCTATGGAGGTGTGGCACGCACTGTCACCTTTGGTTGGACTTCTCTCATTTTTCTTTAGTGCTGCCGTTTTAGGTCTTTAAACTCTCAGCCTCATAATAAAAAGCATTTTTCAAAATATGATCAAAAGATGGAGTCAGGAAATAAAAGCCTGCGATGAGAATGTAATCAAGTAATCGTGCATCAGAACGTCAACATCGCCGGTGTCAGGGCAGATGTGGTCACACCCCAAGACAGTCTGTAGTTATCCGTGTCCTCACTCTTCTCTCCCCCTTTCAGCGTCTCTTGCTTTTTCAATCCTTTTCTAACCTCCACAGCTCTGGGTAATATTCTAGTGTTTTGTTTAGTGGAGATATTGTTTTGAGAGAGAAGACATTTATTTTGCGAGCTGGACTCAGGGATGTGAAAAGAGTGCAATTTCAGCTAAACTGTTGTTTTTATTGGATAATATTTCTTTGGAAGAAAATTTTTCTGTCTGCTGGCTCTCGTTCAGACAAAGAAGCCAGATATTCCGATAAAGTGCGGTTGCATCCCTTAGTAACCACAGACATTATATTGACAGGAATACCACGGTGAGAAAGAGCAGCGAGGAGAACAGTAAGCCAAACAGATGGACTCTTGTCTTCAGTCACCGATATGATCAGAAAGCCTTTTATTGGACATCATAGTTGATTTGTCATTTGTTTCAGTATTTATTGTAGCTATTTATTTCCTGCTAGTAGATTTAGACCCTGTAAGTTAAACGCTGACAAAACACTGACATTTGTA